GGGGTGCTGCTGGTGGGGGCCAAACACATTTCGCCATGCACGTCTACGTCAGCATAGGGGGTAAAGCAAGATCGTAGGGTAAAGCATGTCTGAGTTTTCGACGTCATACTGTATATGACAGATTTTTACTTTCCGCTGGTGCTACCAGGTACCTACCATCTACCTTAACACTTCCCAAGCATTAGCTCGTAATTTAGTCTCCAACATTCCAATGAAACACAGAATGATCTCTCTTTTAGATCCGAAGAGAGGGTTTTGAGAGAAATTAATTCGCCCCAGGCAGTCCTACGGAGTCTACCTTTTATCTACTATAGAGCTTGCTACCTCAGGCTGTTGTGAGAATTAGGTGGCACTTAGTACATTTCCTGAGTCGTGGCAGGTAGTCACAGTAAAGGTTAGCTATTATGATGGTTATGAGGTAGACAAAGCCTGCATCCACCAGCACTCCAATAGGGAAACTTAGAAGGTAGCAGCTACTACACCCCCTTTTCAAAGAAACACAAAGAAGCTTGGAGAAGTTAACTCGCCCAAGGTCACACCACCAGGAAATGGGAAGGCTAGAAATTAAACAGGCCGCGTGGACTCCAAAGGGTTCACAGGGCCTGGGAGCTTGGATCCAGGGCTTAGACCTCCCCTTGTCTCTGCCTTTTTCCTGCAGGGCAGTCACGCCTCTGTGGAGAGCAGGTGGCAGTGGAGTGGCTTAAGCCAGACCTGAAGCAGCGACTCCGCCAGCAGCTCATGGGTCCCTCACTGCAGAGCCTGCAGCCAGAGGGTAGTCGGCTGGCCCCAGCCAGGGACAAGCTAAAGTCCCAAGGGGCTCGGGCTGCCCTGCAGCTGTTGTGCCAACGGATGAAGCTGGGCAGCCCCGTGTTCCTCACCAAGTGTCTGGGCACAGGCCCTGCTGGCTGGCACCGCTTCTGGTACCAGGTGGTGATCCCTGGGCACCCAGTGCCCTTCAGCGGCCTCATCTGGGTGGTGCTGGCCCCAGACGGGCAGGATGGGCACGAGGTGGCTAAGGATGCTGTGTCTGCGAGGATGCTAGAGGCACTGAGGGAGTCAGGAGCCAGCCTTGTACGGTCTGCTGGAGCTGAGGCAGGTACCGTGGTTAAGCAGTGACCCTGTCCTCTTCACAGGCAGGCTGCACGAGCTGGCAGGGCTTGTGTTAGTCCCCAGCCCAGCAGGCCTGGGCAGCCGCCGTCTGGTCTCAAAGAGGAGGAGCACGGGCCACGCCCTACCTCTGACACAGCCTCCTAGCTGGGGCAGGGCCCCAGTAGGCCTGGGAAAGCTCAGGTTTGGCTAAGTTGTGGTGAGGGACCCTTGCTTTCCCCCTCCCGGCCCGGGGTCTCACCTGGCCCCATGGTATTCCTTGGCCATTCTCTGTGTGATAGACAAACACCCCCCTCTTCTCCCACAGCTTTGTATGAATCTCACTTCTTATTTTCTTGGTTTGTCATCTTTGTTGATTTTATTTGGAGGCTGGCTGAGCCAGAGGGTCAGAAATCTGCCTTGTGTCCCCAGTACGTGACATTCCGGTTATGGTGTGTGTGATTTTGGGTTCTTCCCTGCTGGTTGTATTTATATTAAACCCCCGGTTGGCGTACCTGTGTGTCCGTGCCGTCTTGCCCCAGCTGTGGGCTTCTCACACTGGCCGAGTGAGCGGCTGCTGCAGCGCAAGGACTGACTTCCCCTCAGCGCGCTCCGTCCGAGCCTCTGGCTCTGCATCTTTGCGCAGCGCACAGGAGCGTTACAAGTTTGTAGCCTCTCTGGGTATCCGGCCCAGGAAGCAAGACGAGCCCAGGAGGGACCTATCTTGAGCCTCGGCTCATACCCTCAGTCACTGTCCTCCTCACTGTCCTCCGCCTGAGCTGTGCAGTCTTCTCCCTCTTCCCTCAGTCCTGCGAAGAAGTCGGCTGTGCTCCAAGCCTTGCTGCTCAGCGCCCGCAGCGGCCCTCCCTTTTTCTTGCGCCGGCGGTAGTCATCTACTACCACAGCCCGCAGCTGGGCCATGTTCCAGAACTTGAGGCGCTGGTCGTGGCCACTGCTGGCCAGGAAGTGGCCGCAGTGGGAGAGGGCCAGCTTCTCCACAGGCTCCCCGGCATGCTGGCCCACGCTGCCCACCACACGGTTCGGCAGGATACTGACAGCCCTGGGCAGAGAGAAAAGAGTGTTTGGTCTTGGCTGGTTTGGTCCGCCCCTCGTGTGATCTCAGGGCCGTCCTGGCCTCTCTCACCTGACGACTCCATCGGTGGAACCAGTGCACAGCAGGCTCTCAGTGACTGGAACCATGCAGTCAATAGACTCAGCTCTTAGGGCAAACCGATCACTTGTGGCCCCAAAGCCATTCCAGTTGAAGAGGTAGATGGTGCCTTCACTGGAGCCACAGGCCACCTTCTTCCCATACTGCAGGAAATAAAACCATGTCTGGGGGGGCCCTGTCAGAACAGATCCCTATCATACTCCCCAACCCCCATACCGAGATGTACTTTCATGAGAGTGACAGAGGTCAGGTCTCCAGACTGAGGCTCTGAGAGCAGTTCAAACCGGCGTCGCCTGATGTTGAAGACACCCAGGCAGCCATCCCCGCTGTAGAGAGAAGAGAGTAGCAGGCTTGGCCAAAGCTCCCATCGAAGGAGGGAGCTTTAACAGGGAAGGGAAAGGGAGGCGGCTTTGAGGGTGTACCTGGCTGTAAGCAGCAGCTTCTTGGCTGGGTCCAGAGCCATGTCAGCGATATACTCCTCATGCTGCCGCATATCCATTAAGGGGCCTTCCTTCCGCTGGTCCCAGAGCCGGATGCCACCCGTGTCATCCCCAGTGGCCAGGACATTCTCATCTACCAGCAGCAGACTGTTGATGGGGGCACTAGAGACACAGCTTCTTGAAGCATTTTGTCCCAGGAGGAACCTACCACCTTACCCTTGACCTCAACACAATTAGCTCCCCTTACCCATGAGCCTTGGAAATGCGTCTTTCCAGTCGGCCTTGCTCCACATCTAGAACATGGATGGCTTTGTCCTTGGAGACAGTGACAAGTTCTGGGGGGAAAGGTGCCCAGGTCATGGTGCTGCTCATTGCTCCCTTGCCAACAGATTGCTGGCCGGCTGCCTTGCCCAATACTCACTCTGTCCATCTTCAGAGAAGGCCACGGCTCGGCAGGATTTGAGGTGGTGACCTGAGGACCAGAGCTCCTTCGTTTCTCCCTCTTGGCAAGAGTAGGAAAAGCTAGGGGGAGGAGAAAGAGTAAATGACTCCAGACCCTGCCAGCATGGAATATAAAGAGCAACTTAGTCAACCTTCCACCTCTCTAGGAACTGCTGCTTATACACCACCAAACCCACGGAGCTTACCATCCCATTTTTCCATTTTCAGATGTTCAGTCTTTAATTCAACACACATTCAAAGTACATTTGTTCAGGACTTCTTTGTGAACTGACCCCACGTCATCCTTAAAAGCCCCAGCCTGGGGAAATACTAGATCTGGACCACTGTGGAGGGCATGAACTATGTGCTAAAGACAGAACAGGGGCGCCAGGGTGGCTCAGTCGGTTAAGCGTCCGCCTTCAGCTCAGGTCATCCCAGAGTCCTAGGATCAACTCCTTGCTCAGCAGGGAGTCTGCTTCTCCCTCTCCCTCACCCTCTGCCCCTCCCCCAGCTTGTGCTCTGAGTCTCATTCTCAAATAAAAATCTTAAAAAAAAAAAAAAGAATAGCCCCAGGAGTTTGAAATATAAAAATTAACAAAAGGGCTCTTGTACTCCAGGTCTATATGAGCTAAAGAAAGTTAAAACTAATTACAGAATATTGTGGCCACATGCAGAAAAGGAGGTAGGATCAAAATGGAGGTGGACCAGAGAAGGGCCAGCCTGGAAGCTCAACTTTGAGGCAAGTACTTGTCCAGAGTGTATCCCTAGTGCCTACCTCAGAGCAGATTCTTCAAAAAGGGCCAGATGACAAAGTACTTAATTGCTAGGGAGTTTTGGTGAGCAGAACAGTCTCCTTATTTGCTCTGTCCCAGTGCCTAGCATGTGAAAAGAACCCTGGAAAGCTAAGGTCAAGATGTGAGTTGGGTTACGAAGAATAAGTAGTTCATCTGGCAGATACTGGAGGCAGATAATCAATGTCCCTTCTAGGGCAGAGACAAGGAATGAGGAGGGTTCCAGGGGCAGGAGAGTGAAATGGCTGAATCTGGAAAGCTGGGTTGGACTGGACTTGAGACCATATAGGCCAAGCAGAAGTATGAATTTAATCCTATGGGAAAAGGAACCTCTTTGGAATGGTCATGGAAGAAGTCAGAAGCCTGCCAAAAGGCAGTGGCTGAGGGTAGGGAAGAGGAGACAAACTGAAGCAATGTTAATGTGAGTAAAGGTGGAGGTTCAGAGTGACCCCCAAGTGTCTGGCATGAAGTAAGTATGAATAGTAATAGAAAGGAACCCACATTTGTTGAACTCAGTATACACCTGACTGCTCTGCAAGGTCGGTCCAGGCATACTTCCTTTTATTGTGCTTCACAGACACTGCATGTTTCACAAACTGAAGGTCTGTGGCAACCCTGTATGGAGCATGTCTGTCGGTGCCATTTTTCCAACACCATCTGCTTACTTGTAATCCTCACAATATTTCAGACTTTTTCATTCTATTTGTTACGGTGATCTGTGACCAGTGATTATGACTCACTCATGACGGTTAGCATTTTTTAGCAATAAAGTATTTTTTAATTAAGATGTATATTGTTTTTTAGACATAATGCTAAGGCACATTTAATAGACTGCAGTATAGAATATACTTCTATGAACTGGGAAACCGAAAAATTTGTGTGACTCACTTTATTGCGACAGTCTGGAGCCAAACCTGCAATATCTCAGAGATATGCCTGCACTACTTCCATTTTTGAGGATGAAAATATGGAAGTGAGCTTGCCCAAGGTGACTGAAGCTAATGAGGAGGTTGAGGTTTAATGTCATTAAGTAAATCTGAAGCACAACTCTTCTGGTTAAAACCTTCAATGACTCTTCACTGCTTCCAGCCTACTTCTCTTGTTCAAAATCAGACACGTATTGAGCACCTAACATGGTCTAGAAGCAGGAGATATAATGGAGAACAAAACAGACTACAGATTACAGAAAAGTGTTTTTCAGACTCCAGTCATGACCCATTAGTGAGCTGCCATCAGCATTTTATGTCTGTGTGCCTGCAATAACAATGTAATAAACCAGGAAATATCGGGGTGCATCACACAAAAATTATTTTTGGTGTGGGGCAAGGTCAAAAAGTTTGAAAAACATTTTTTTCTTTTTTTTTTTAGTGAAGGGGACAAGCATTCAAATAATTACACAAATGGATGTAGGATTGCAAACCATACGAAGTTTATGAGGGAAAGTTATCTGGTGCCAACGCAGCAGCATCTGATGGGTGATCTAATTTAGTCTGGGGAACGGGAGGGCAAGTGTAGAGATGTTGAGAACTCAGGGATAGTGGATACAAATGAGGGGAAAGTTTTCCAGGCAGAAGGAATAACCCGCAAAAGAACTGAGGATTTAAGATACATTCAAAAGGTAAGAATGAATGAGCACTGAAAGTAAGGGGAAAGTGAGCGAGAACCAGATGGCCAAGACCCTAAAAGCCACATTAAAGAGTTTTGACTTAATCCTAAAAACAAAGGTAAACTACTGAGGGGTTTTAATCAAGAAAGAGAGGTGGTTAGATTTGTGTTTTTAAAGATTAAAGCAGGCAAGAAGCAAAGCGGAGGGGGCCCATTCAACCCGTTTCAGGCTCAGGAAAATAATCCATTGAAAAATAACAGTGTCCTGAACGCCTTCTTGTCCTACTGCCTCTGGGCTTTGTCGGGACGTTCCAGCCACTTTGTCTCCCTTTCAGTTGTCTCAAGAGATTTGTGTGTTAACTGGTTTAAAACCCAATGTTCTTGAACGAATCGGATCAGATGAGTCAAGATTTGTCTCTTTGCACCTTTCTCTCCTCATCCCACCTCCATCCCTAAGGAGCTTCCAGATCGCGCAGCCCCGAGCCCTGCCCAGCACTTACACGAACACGTCCCCGTCCACGTCCCCCGCCGCCAGGAGGTCGCGGGCCGGATGGAACGCCAGCCCGCTGGCCGGTGCTTCCAGCATGATGTCTTCCGGGGTGTCTCGGATGCGGACCGGGGTTTCCGTGGAGTCGGGGTTCTCCTCGTCGCTCCCATCCTCGGCGGGCCTCTCCTCACACGTGCGGTCCATGCACCGAAGGACTCCGAGCAGATCAACAGTAGAGCTGTGAGCCCAAAACCCTCCCACTGGCCTGGAGGTGCGGCCCAGATTCCACTTCCGCCTTGGGGGCGGAGCCGGAAGTGGAGCTAAGACGGGCAAAGGCGGGTCGGCCCCAGCTAGTGTGGGTGGAGTGGATCCCAGGGACCCGGCCCTTGTCAAGGAGAGCAGCGTGTCCGTGTTACCGTGGCCCTTTGCTGGGCCAGGTAGACGGCGCGACTGTCAGTGCTGTCCTTGATCACGTCACGTAAAGTTGGGAACTGTCCTTTCCCCTCATCCTGATCGATGCTGACAGTTTGGGACTCCCTCCCGCAGCTAGTAAGGATGATTTACTGCCCTCAGGACAGGAAAGGGGGACGCCAGTCTTTCATGGCTTGGTGACACCCAAGAGCAGCCTCCAGGTTAGTCCGGAAGCAACGAAAGCCCCACACCGCGAGAATTCGGTATGTGGAGGTCGTGGACGTCAGGCAGGCCAAGCACACGCTTAAACTGCTGCGGCCTATGCTCAACATCTTCGGGGCCGAAGGAACAGCGCCCTGCCGGTTCCTAGTTTGGCTGCATACCCTCAGAGGGCCAGGCCAGCAGTGCTCAGAGCTGGCAAGGAGTTGCTTAAGAGGAAAACGGGCACCACAGTCAACGTTCTGAACATTCTGGTTATCACAGGTTCCCATAAAGATGGGAACACTCTGTGGTGGGGCAAATAGCACAAGCCCCTGGGACTGCAGAGAAGTTTCTCACATCACTGTGCTACTAAGCCTTCTAAGACATCTTATACACTGATGCCCAACCCCCTCAATGGGAGGTGAAAGTGAGGTGAGGGACCTCAGAGAAGCTGTATGTCCTGTGTGAATGGAAAAGTTGCCATGTGGTGTTGGGGGTCCTTGTCACTCTCCATGTGGCCAACCAGAGGACCTTGGGCATGTCCACAAGGCTTGGTGATATTTGCAGAAACTGATTTTTGTTTTGTTTTGTTTTAAAGATTTTATTTATTCATTCATGAGAGACAGAGGGGGAAAGAGAGAGAGAGAGAGAAGCAGAGGGAGAAGCAGGCTCCCAAGGAGCAGGGAGCCCGATGTGGGACTCGATCCCAGGACCCTGGATCATGACCTGAGCCGAAGGCAGACGCTTAACCATCTGAGCCACCCAGGCGCCCTGCAGAAACTGATTTTATTTTTATTTTAAGTAAGCTCAACACCCAGCATGGGGCTTTAACACACAACCATGAGATTAGGAGTCCCATGTTCTGCCAACTGAGCCAGCTAGCCAGGCTCCCCTGCAGAAATGGATTTTTTAAATGGACCATCAACCCCCAGGTTTTTTGGTTTTCTAAGTAAGCTCTTTGCCCAATGTTGCCCAAGGCTTGAACTCAGGACCCTGACATCAAGAGTCACATGTTCTACAGACTGAGCCAGCCACATACCCCAACCCCCAGGTCTTAAATTTAATGACCCTCTAAGTATCTACATCTAAGCCGGGTCTCTTTCTTAACTGGGACCAATGCCTACAACCATGAAAACCAGGGTGTCCTTTACTGTCTGATACTAGGCATTCTAGGTGCTATTGCAGACAGAGCCCAATTTCAACCTCCTAGAGGCCATACACAAAGCTGCCTTCCTCAAATGTTCTTGCCCTATCAAGCTGAAAGTGACCAAAGGCAAGGCAAGGTTAAGGTAGTCTTCTAGCTTTCCTTGTATGTGCAGATCCGAGGTCTTAGGCTCAGGGCAGGCAATGGCAGCTAGGGACCCAGCCAGAAAAAAAGGGATGATCCTTATGAGCACCAGACCAAAGTGCTGGCAATGAGCAGAGAGGAGGAAAAGGTTAGGGATGGAATGATTCAGAGGCCAGAGCCTTTGGCAAACATTTCGGGTGTTGAAGGGCACCAAACCCTGCGGGCTTAGCATAAGAATCCCCCAAGGCACTTCCCCAAGTTTATCCCTTCAGCCAAAGCAGCAGCAATTTGTGCTTAGAATTACTAAAGCGCTCAGGAGGGCATAAATCCATTTTTGTTCCCCAAGGGATTTTCATCAGCTGTCTTCACCTACAGCCTAGTCCTGCACAACCTTGGGATCAGACTGGCAGCCCACTGGGTGGACCCTAATTCCCAGGGAATCTCTGTGCTAAAAGTGGGCCCCCAAATGGGCCTGAATGAGTCTGACATTTGAGACCAACCATCCTTACGTTCCTCTACCTCTTGCCCATCAGTGAGGTCATTAGTTCTCCACTAGGCGTCCTGGCTAGGATCCTTACTGTCTAGGAATGTAGAACCACAGCTCAAGGAAAGCTAACTTTTCTGCATGGGCATTTTACACAATCAGTGGAATTAGTAGCCCTCTTAGTGCTTCAGGGGCCCGGGAGGGAGGATGCTCAAACAGAGAAGACATGATGGTAGATTAGCCAGATTTAATGGAACTAAATGATTATACAATAACATTTTATATACATTTACAAAAAGAGACCTTGCAACTATTTGGGGAATTGTAGAAAGCAAGCACTGGTGAGCCCATCCTTGTGGGGAATATTTTTGGACTTGGAACTGGAGATTAGTATTTTGGTCTTTTCACTTCAACTCTGCAATGGAAGGAGAAGTGAGTCAGCATAAGATCTATACTCTAAGCAATTCCCACAGTGCCCCAGAAGAAGAATGCTGATGCTCACCCATCAGCCTCCATCTTCTTCCTCTTCTCAATGATCTACAAAAAAGAACAGTTACACCCAATAGTTACGCTGTCAGTCTAAGATCACCTGAGGCACCAGGCTGACCTCTCTCCTACTTCCTTGGCTCTCCAACCCCCTGCCTGTTCCTGCATCTGTGGGCCAGTGTCTCCTCCCAGCTGAAGTCCACCCAAGAGGTGATCTCACTTACTGCACTAATCTTCTTCCACTGGCGATCAAGCTCTGCCTTATCATTGGTTTCCTTGAAGCGCCTGGTTTTCCGCCCTTCAGACATCTTGATGCCATACTGGAATGCAGCTCTGAGAAAAATAAAGGACAGTTGGGGGAAAGAAGGCACCAGAGGTCGCATAGCAGTACCAACATGTTCCCAGATGGCCCTGTGACTAAAGAACCTGTTTAGGAATGTCTCAGGCAGACTATCCCCTCTAACCTGGTGAAGGCTAGCCCACCCCACCATCATCCCTCTCCTCACTCCCTGGCCATATTTAGGACCGACTCACTTGGGCAAAGCCTCCTTGTTGTTCATATACTCGCTGTATTCCTCCTGGGTATCAAAGTCCCAGCGGCCTAAGGGTCCTTTCTTATTACCCTGTTGGAAGACAGAAAGGGGACAGAGAAGGAAGAAATGTCATGGAAACAGAATTTTAGCCCTTATTAAAGCCATGTTCTCTCACAATCCTGTTTCATTATTCATAAATCCCACCCTGATAAATAATAATAAATGCTTACTATGTACTTACTATGTCCTGGGCATTGTTCTGAACACTAAACACATATTTAATTCTCTCCAACTCTATTAAAAGAGAACCATATTCCTCTCCACTCTCCTGATGAGTAAACTGGGGCATAAGCAGTAAAACAAATTGGCAAGGTCATTAAACTAATAAATGGCAAAACCAGGGTTAAGCAAGTCTCCAAGATGGAATTAAACAAGGCTCAACCATCGCAGTAAAGAGAAACAAGAAAAAAGTAGATGAAACTTCTTCACCATTAATAGTGCTATGTGTCAAGAGTTTTTGTTGTTGTTGTTGTTGTTTTTTTAAGTAGGCTGCACACCCAGCATGGAGCCCAACGCGGCACTTGAACTCATAACCCTGAGATCAAGACCTGAGCTGAAATCAAGAGTCTTTTGCTTAACTGACTGAGCCACCCAGGTCCCTCTAGAGTACTTTTGTTTTTAGGACTAGAGAAGAATATTTCAATCCTGGCTAGAATAAAATTCAATTATTTTCTAAACACTGAAATTCCTTCTACCCTTTCTATTTATACACTAAAGGCTTGTTTACTGCTTACTATGGAAATCAAAGCCTGGCACTTTGTAGGAAATAAAAATAAATCTATTTTTGGCCTATCTCATTTCATTTTGTACAGACACTTTGAAAGTTAAGCTTCCCACGACTCCACAATGCTGCTGCTCTTAGTAGCTGACGGAAGGTTAAGTCCCAGAAAATGAGACACAGATCTGCTGGGAGTGGGGAGGAGGATATGTGCCAAAGAGTAACTGCCAAGACTCCCCACCCATCCTTCCAACACCATACCTGGTCCATTTTGCTATAATCCACCTCCTCATCACTATCCACAGCCATGTCATCCATCCTAAAGAGAAGCAACAAATTAAACAGATGGTGCAGACCCAGACCCCTATGCTTTATCCAGAAACCTACCCAACTAAGATGCTATATGCCCAAAAATGACCACCCCCCCGCCACAACCCGAGCCCTCCCACTCAGTGCCTGAAAGAATAGTTCATCCAAGTAAGAAGTACCCCTCGGTCCCGGGTAATCAAATTGCCACTTTAGCCCCCTCCCCACAACTTGTGCTCCAATCATCCCAGCCTCCCTTAACAGTCTCACACACGTGGCTGGGTAGCACTCGGCATAGCTGTTGGACATTCCAAAGAAGTCTCCCAGCTGCTTTTTGTCCTCTGGCTTCTTCAGCATATGCTATGTTAAAGAAAATAATTCTACCTATAGCAGAAAAGCTTCAAGAAGGAAGGGCCAAGGGCTAGAAGCCCCAAAATGAAAACTCTTTAAGGACCTGAAGGGGTCCACTGAGAAATGGGAAAGTCATAATGATTGCATTCCTGACAAAATTCAGTATAAAAGGCAAGAAGCAGGGTGGGGGCTGGGGGTTGTGGGGAAGCAGGGAAGTAGGTAGAATTAGAAAGAAAACATGACAACAGTTTTCTAGAATCCAACAACATATTGAAATAAAGGATATGACTCAGTGCCTTCCCAGCCAGCGGACCCAGCAAACTTTTCATTGATTGACTTGATCAACTCCTTAGCAGATCCAGGTCCTAGGGGAAAAGAGAACTCTGTTCAGACTGTGAAACAAGGAACTTACCTCTGCTCCCCACACATACTTCCAACCTGTTTTCATAAAGTCCTTTTTTTAAGCAAAAGA